CACCGAAGCTTCTGAAGCATTGGCTGACGTCGCCAAGTGGCGCCCAGAACCCCCAGGCTGGGGTTCAAGTATAATCTGACTGGCCTTCATGCACAGAAGCAGCAAGGAGAAGAGTAAGATAAAAAAAAAACAAGAGAAAATACACAGAGCAACCTGGTGAGCTTCCAAGAACCAAGGAGTCCGCCCTTCTTATATACTTACATACGGAGTACTGACTCAGGCAGTCTTGGTGGATGATCCGAACCAGCCGACCGAACGGATTCCCACGGCGCTTTTCTTCGTTCCCCTTGACCAACTCTCGTTGACGTTGACCAGCAGACGGGAAGACCAGGGATGAACTCCCGAACTGCAGCAATTCCGAGTTCTTCTTTAGACGCTATTCTCGGGTTGTGTCGTGTTTGCTTTGTCGGTCGTGTTCTTGTGAGTGCAAACGCTTGTTCTCTAAACGGAAAATAGGCGTAACACTACCTTTGGGGAGCTGATCATGATTCATTATTTTCCTCAGTCAAAGATACGGAGCCATCCTCTTACAGACGGAGAAGCGGAGTTTAGGTCTTTGTGGTAAGTGTAGACGCGGGAGACGATCATAGCTATCCTTCACGCATCTGCTTTCTACCTCTGACGCCTGAAGATATGCCCTTGGCCGAAACTGGCCTATTCTGATTGACTCGATTTCCATCAATATCCAAGTCGGCTGGAGCACACCACATGTAGGTAACAATCAGGCATCACCATCCTTCTAGAAGCTAGAGAAGGCCCTTGAGCAACCTCCAAGGCCGTGGCATCACATCACGTGGAGTCGTAACCTCGCTGCAAATCAAACTGAGATTGTTGTCCGAGACGACTGTGGTGGAGGCTAAGTCCCTGGCTTAGCGTGCTATCTATAGCCCGCTTGCCAACCATGTGGAGGAACCTCTCCAGCAAAATGTGGAACCGAAATTGAATGGGATAAAGTTGAAACAGCAGACTTTTTAAAGCTTGAGCCTAACGACCCCGCCACAAACTTCGATGTAAGCCGAGTCTGCCACCCCCGTACGGGTACCCCTAGTTTATCCCCATGGGATGCAAAAAAAAGGGCAAAAAGAAGCAAAGTGATTATAAAAAAAAGCAAAGCTGTAGAAGGAACATCCTCAAAAAAGAAAAAAGCACCAAAAAGGATTGCATTGCAAAAAAAAAAAAAAAAAAAAAAAAAGGAACAAACTCCAACAGGGTCCGAAATAGAGCTCTATGCTCCAATTTTTTCCTTTCTGGCTGATTTAATGAGACAAACATTAGGTGTCTCATACGATTCTTCCTCGCAACGAAGTTGCTCTTGAATGTACTTGGTCTTCCTTAGCACTCGGCTTCTTCTTCTTTCCCTGGCTATCTTTGCTTTTCCCTTCGATCTTTTGGCCTTCTCTCGGCCGCTCTGGGCCAAAAGCTGTGAGCAGCGTTTCCGCGGGCCGACATACTGTTTCAATCCGACCACCAGAGACCAAGAATGGTATTGGTAGAGGAACCAGGGTGGAGAGGGGGGAGCGTAGCTAGGCGCATGATAGGCCCTGCCTGGCGGATACCAGTGGCCTTAGCCTTAGCCACGTTCAATACGGAGGCTAAATATATATATTTATCTTCCTTCCACTGCCAACAGATTTTACATAAATAACCACTCCTACAGCCCGTCAACAACAGTTCTGTAGATCAGAATTCATATCCACTCCTTTTTGAGGATAACAAGTTATCCAACCTCCTTCCAACCACCCATCGACCGTCGGGGGTTCAAACGGGGGATTTCATCTCATTTGCGTTGACGCAATTCAAAAAGTTGGGAGAGTCTTTCGCACCGGAAATACATACATACGCACACAAAATGAAGTACAGCACAGTGTTGGTGGCCGCGCTTGCTGCCATAGCAGATGCTACTATCCCCATTCCTAAGGGCGGAGTTCCTGGCCAACCCATCCAGGAGAGCGGAAAGGGAGCTGTCTTTTCTGGTATGATATTCCAGCCTTCACTTACCCTACCAACGTTGCAGAAGGTCATTTTGCTGATTTCGAATGTCAGGTGGTACCAACAATCAGCTTGACCTCCAGAATCCAAGCAATATCGGCGGTCAGCCAGCAACTGACAATGGCCTTGTTCCCAACATGAAATGGAGTTTCTCCCTATCCAAGACAACGGATTGGTGGGATGGCGGTTGGATCCGTGAGCAGGTCATCCAGGATTCTACACCAGTCATGACATCGCCGGTGCCCAAGTCCATTTGATTAAAGGCGGTATCCGACAGATGCACTGGCACAGAGTTGTATGTTCAACCCATTTTCATCTTTCGTCCTTTTTGCAACCTGTATCAGACGACAATTGTATACTGAGACTTTTATCTTCTAGGCTGAATGGGCCTACATCTACGCTGGTTCATTCCTAATATCTGCCGTCACTGAGGATGGCCAGTTCCAGCTCGACAAGCTCGGAGTTGGTGATATGTACTACTTCCCCAAGGGAGCTGCTCACTCTCTCCAGGGACTCGAGGACGAGAACGAGATCTTGCTGATCTTCGATGACGGTGACTTCGACCGTGTCGGGTATGCTTTTAAGCAATCCCTTAATGTCAATCGCATGCGACTAACTGCTTCTTAGAACCACCTTCATGGTTGCCGACTGGATTTCACACACACCAAAGGACGTTCTGGCCAAGAACTTCGGTGTCCCACCGAGTACCTTCGACAAGACCTACAACCCCGACCTCGCCCTCATCAACTCTACCATTAGCACCAAAACTGTCGAAGGTGGCAAGGGCGCTCTCACTGGCAACAGCTCCTACACCTTCCATATCTCCAATGCTCCAGAAATCCAGGTTCCCGGTGGTGGTGGTACCATCCAAATTGTTGACTCGAAGAACTTCCCTGTCTCCAAGACCATTGCTTGTGCCGTTGTCCGCCTAAAGCCTGGTGGCATGCGCGAGCTTCACTGGCACCCAACTGTAAGCTTATCTTTATATGCTTTTACCCCTACTTCAATCTCATCTAACCATTTATCATACAGGCTGAGGAGTGGCTCTACTTCCACAGCGGAAACGCCCGTGCTACTGTCTACATCGGTGGTGGTCTTGCCCGAACCTTCGACTTCACCGCTGGTGATGCCGGTGTTTTCCCAGACAACTCTGGCCACTATATTGAGAACACCTCTAAGACCGAGGAGCTTATCTACCTTGAACTATACAAGGCCGACCGTGTCGCTGACGTCTCCCTCAGCCAATGGCTCGCCCTTACTCCTTCAGACATCGCTGCTGCCGCCATCAATGTACCAATCGAGGTCATTGAGCAGATCAAGAAGGACAAGCAGTACATCGTCTCCTAAACGTGACACACGCGGAGGTGCAGGCACCTCAGACTACCCTCTGAGAACAAACACCTTCATTTTTACTTCCCTGTAATTTTTTTTTATCAACCCTTTCTCTCATACCCGCCACCTGTCCGGCCTGGATACACTAATGACTACACTCTCACCCCTCGATGGTTTTCTTTTCTCTGACATATCTTGCCTGCACATAAGCTGTTTTGTCTGCTGCTGGTACAACCTCTTTCCCTTTTCCTCTGCCTATATATATCCTTTCTGTTCATATTACGTCTATTAGATCTGCACATAGCCGACCGCTTGTCTTCTCGTCTATATGTCTCTGAGCAACTTGCATACGCTCTCCATCTCCCTACCTTTCTTTATCCTTTTTATTTTTTTAGAACCAAAACGAGAAAAAATACTCAAAAATACTCAAAAAAATGAACGTTCCAAGTATTCAGCACATAGAATCAAATTACCATGTCTTACCATTCGAGAGAAAAAGGCAATCTTGCCTTTCAACGGCGCATACAAAGCAAACCATGGGTACACACCCCTTTTCAGCTCCCAAAGGCACCTGCGTCTCCTCTTTTTTTTTTTTTTTTCTCCTTTCTTTTTCGTGTGAACAAGCTCTTCACTATCCTGCAACCTTCCTGTTGAAAAGTGCGGTGTACATGTACAAGCTTTGCTATCTTCCGGCTTCGATGCTCGGCAGCAGAGGCAAAGTACCCGGGACCTCCGTGTACTTGATCGAGGCGCATATCAACCCGTCAGCCTTGTTGTTCATAACGCCCCGTCAAACACGCAGCTTTACCGTCCCATGACGAAGCCGCATCTATCAAAACACTACAGGCCAGCAAAAAGCAAAAGAAAGCAGGCCGACTCCTTCGACACAGTCATCGCTAAACGGAGTACCTCCGTTGGGTACGACGTGTTCCTCCCAGCCTCAAGGGCAAGCCGAACGCTTGTATCTATTTCTGGCTACGGGATCGCGGTACCCAATAGCACAGAAGAGAGCAAAGCCGCCTCGTATATCGAGCTCCCACGTCTCCATCTGGCTGGTCTCCAGGCTCCTCCTCCTGCTGAGGATCGGGGCCATCCAGCTGTCTCCGTCTCTCTGTGACTCAAGGCTCAAGGCGGAGTCGCATTCTGAGCAGCCGCATCAGACCAGAGCAAGGCCAGACAGCAAACCAGAGGGCGGCTCCTCGTCCTGCCTTGCTAGGTTACAGCTCGATATTTCTCCGCTGTTAATCCTCTGCTGACCTTGCCACCGAAACTCTCCCGCAGAGGAGAGGCCAGACAGACGCCTGACAGAATGAACTGCCGGACCATGCACCTCCTAACTACGTTTAATTGACGGAGGCCTCATCCAGGGCCCGAATATCAAGGATCACGGACAGCTTCTCAGTTTATGCTGACTGCAGGAGGCCATGCAAGAGATGCCGAGCGTACATCAGCGTGTACATGCATGGATGTGTGTCTGTTGTGATTATTCTGTATAACCCATCCCAGGGGACAAGGATAGGCGTGGAGATGCATGTACATGTAGGCGCAGAGAGACAGCAATGTCGTTACGAGGAAGCAGCCCGTAGCTGCGCTGGGATAGGTTTACATCCACAAGGAACGATGCTTATCTTTTCAGGTCCCCCGAGGAAGAGAGAGACAAAACAAGCCATGTAGAGGAAAAATACGATCATGCAGCAGCAGGCGATGAGGAGGTTGGTTGCGTCCCAATACGTCTGGCATGGCAGTGCTGGGATCTTTTGATGGTGGCCTGAGAGGCCTGACCCACAGTTAATACTTCTGGGACAATATCATTCTGGTTCAACAATCAATTTGTTATAGAAACAACTATGGTGTATAGTTAATAAGTAGAGAACAAGTATGAAGTAACTATGGTCGGCACCCTCGAACTCCTCATAAACGATCCATCCAAACACGTACCTGGCATCCTAGCGTCATCGAACACGTTAACCGTCAAGCATCAAGCATCTGTGAAATCTGTAACCCCTTCTTCCTCCTTCGCTTCCCCACACTTCTCATCTTCGTCCGGCCGAAAATCATACTTAACCCTGTCATGATCGAACATCAATATCAAAAAAGGAAAAAAGAAAGAAAAAAAACATGGTAGGAGATATAAAAAGAAACATGTGTCAAAGCAAGTATCAAGACGTTGCAGATATCCACGGCAAACCTCGGGGACTTGCATCTCTTTCCCCCTTCCTTCTCACCATCTCACCCCTACCTACCGGACCGCAGTCCCTCACAAACCCTTCCACCGTGCCCAGCCCGCAGCTTTAATTTCCTTCGATTTTGAAGGTTGATGGCCTCCTTTGTTCTTGGACGGGGATGATTCACTCTCATCTTGAATGAGGTCACCACCCCTCCCTTCTTCTGCAACTTTCCCACTAACCTCACGACGGCGGCCGACTCCCAAGCCGGCTAGATAATTTCCGTACCCTGGCGAGCCGGAACCTAGATCTGGGCCAAGGTCGATGCCAGTGTTGCTAACAACTCGTCCTTTGCGGTCAGTCTCGCCTTTGCCGATAGGCGACTCAAAGTTGTCATCAGCGTCATCAGTCTCTCCTCGGAGAGACTCGTAAGCTGACACTCGGCCGCTCTTACGTCTCCAGCGGGATGACAGTTTCTTGTTGCTACCAGGGGACGGAGTGTTCTTTGCAAGTTCCCCGTACGAGCGTGACTTGCTACCAGGTGTAGCTTTAGAAGGGGTGGCAGATGGGTTTGGAAGGTTGGAAAGTACCTCGCGACGGACATCGCTTCGAGCAGCTTCCTTGCTCTCTTCCTCTGGATCCAATGGGCGGGGAGTTGGCGGATTCATGGACAGTGGGTTCACCTCCAGACCAGAATTGTGATTGAACTGTTCAGTTTTGCCCTTGGAATAATAACGCTCGCCCTGGCTTTGTTGATACCCGAACATATTTTCTGGTCCGTTGGGATTAAGGATTGCCTCGTCTTCATCGTCGTCGTCGTCATCTACGGCAGCGTATACTCCTCGGTGTCGTAGAACAGTACCGCTTCGTTGAATCAGGTCATCATCTCCCTCGAAATTATCATCCCAGATTGCATCTTCATTGTCCAGCGCTGGATTACCGACGGGATCTCTGAATGGCGAAGCCTCTTGAGCGTTCAGCTCAGGTGATGGAGGATTTGAAGGATACGCCTCCCAGTTAGAAGATACGCTTGGACCACGGTTCTGAATATCTACAGACGATGGTCGGGATTGTGCGGTGGGAGGCGGAGTATGGAAGACAGCAGACTGGGGCCTGGATGAACCGTTTCCTCTCCCCCTGACCGTAGTGCGGGAAATGGGTGTTTTGGGGCGACTAGATTCCTCATACTGGCGAATTTGCTGGCTTGGGAGATCAGAACGCGAGTGACGGTGCGACTTAGCAGAGTAGTATGACGACCGATCATCTCCGTGCTTGTGGGGCTGGGTGCCCGTGAGAGTCACTCCGGAATCGGTCCTTGTGTGCGCAAATGGCACCGTGCGAGTAGCTGGCAGGATGGTGTTGTATGGATCCGTCTCAGATGAGCCAATTGTGCTCTGGCTAAGATGCTTTTCGGCTATCTCAGATCTGGTGCGCTTATGCGGACGGGCAGTTAAGTTATCTTCCAACGGGTTCATGTCTGGTGGCAACTTGGTTATCTTGCGGAACACCACCGCCAGATAGATATCCACAATCAACGACGCGATATGGAACCCGCCAACCGTTGTGGCAATGAGCACCGTGGCATAGATGATCTTCGCATTGGCATTGTCGTTTCCAAACAGTGTCTTCCAACCATAACTTTTCGATTGATGTTCCGTTCGCGAGATTAAGGCAGTGAATACGTAGAAAGGAACCAGGCCAGCGTCAAGTACTGCTGCAAAGAGCATGTAACTTGCCGTGGAACCAGGCGTACGGGAGGTAGCAGATCGACAAAGATGGAAAACCGCGTAGATCGTGTGCACCATTGAAACCGCGGGCTAGTTATAGGGTTGTTAGGCGGTGGATGATAAAGAAAATGTTGAATATATATAAAAAAAGGCAGCATCAACCTACCCCTACCCGGATAATCCATGCTACCTGGGTTGTCGTGTTGTTGATACAGATAACGCAGAAGAGCATTCCCATAACCCCAATGAGGGTTAAAGCTCGCAAAACAAGCTGGAAAATTCGAGCATACTTGACGTATTTCTTAATATTCGGGCTCATATTTGTGATGGGTTTTCTTCCGGTTGGAAGGACCGCGTACTAGCAGGTTCAGATGTTAGATTTCTTCCAGGCTGAAACATATAAGCAGAAGAGCAATGTTAGTTACCGAGTCCGGATGCTGGTTGAAATTGACCAAGGGCCCATCTTTCTTTGGCTTCTGCGGCCGAGGAGCCCAGCTGTTCAGCGTAACAGCCTTGGGGTTGAAGTCAGCAACCTGTGCGGACTTGGGATAGAGAGATGGCGGGTCGTAGAGAAACGGCGGCTCGATCTTCCCCATGGCCACTGCTGTAAAATTGCAAGCATATACTAAGGAATGTCTGGCTGTAGAGATGCTGATGCCGTTGTTTGTTGAAACAACATGGCTGCTGTCTTCAGGATCGCGGGCCGAACAAAAACACAGCCGTCAGGATTGTTGCCACGGCAACAAGCGCCTCATCCGCTCGCTCCCAGCCTCAACGTTTAGCCGCGCGATTAGCGTTGCAACTAGTAAGCTCGACAGGCATCTGGCCGTCCACGAAATAGGTATCCATCTCGACTCTGCGGTGCAATGAGATGATGGCAGTGATATTGGTGATGATGATGTTGTAGTTGTTGTTTGTACGTGGTCGTCAGATTAAGCTTATCAGATCGAGTTGACTAAAAGTGTTATTCAAAGACGGTTATTACAACGTCGTTCGCCCAACTCTAGCGCTACTACGAGTAGTTTACGACTACTGTCACAGAAGACCCAAGAGTCGACTGGCTACTCAGTACGTGCCTTGCTGGTCTCTACCATTGGCTATATTTAGAGGCGCACAGCTGGTCCTCGGAAGTGGAGATGCTGGAGACACTGGAGATGCTGGAACAAATCGACCACCGCACGGAAACGGCCTGGAGAAGCCAACGAGAAGACGGACCCGGAAGACCTCGTTGGAGTGCGCTGTAACGGTCGTGAGATCTGTGGAGTTTTGCGAACCGATTAGATCCCTTCGACCGTACCCGCAAGAACGTGTACGGCTCCATCAGAGTGCTCGACGTCGCATTCCTGACCAAGTTCTTCTTCTTGACCGCGTCAGCTCATGTCACTAGTAATTCGTCAGCAAAACCAGTCTAGATGTTTGCCGCAATATATTTTGGGCCTTCCAGGGTTGTTACAAACGATACGTATACATTCGTGGCAGCGTGGGAGGACCCCCCTAGCACTGTTAGAGAATATAGAGACGAGCAAGTCTACAGAGCATGCACATCCCAGAGCCTCAGTTTACGAGCGGGAACCGCGTGGCAATGATTCGCAGGAGATATTTTGCACTGACGGATTAAGCAAAAGCTTCCCGTGCGATATCATTTACGACAAGCGGGTTGTTATACCCCATTTGATTGAAACAAACGAGAGGACGGGAAAAAAAAAAAAAAGCGCCTGCTTTGAGATATCCAGGAATTTTGACCATAAGTTACCAGCACGTCGGTCAAGCATGTCACATCAGTGACTTCTGCGACTGCCCACCAATTTTTCAACTTTTGAGGCATCGCAGGTTTCAAAGGCAACGCTTGTTTATATCTGACGTAAGGTCCGTGGACTGGGATGGATGATCTACGAAATCCCAGTCGATATCATCACGCATATAATAACCTCTCTCCTGATAATCTCGGCCACGGCTTGAGACACACCACGGAATCCCGACCGAAAATAGTGTTAATATCAGCCAGGTATCCATTGCTATAGGACCGGGTATGTGGATTAACACAGCAATTTACCGGTTTGAATCCTTGACAGGGAATCGAAAGCAAGGGTCTCCCTACCGGCCAATATACTTACACACAAGCGATTCAGACCCCTGATGGCACATACTTTAGTTCGTGGTCAGACCAACAAACTTGGGGTTCGTGTCAAGGAATACAACTGTCAACTACCTTCTAGCCAAAAGAGAAAGAAAAGAAAAGGAGAAGCAACGGAGTGAGAAAAATGGGGAAGATGCTTGGATAAAGACACGTAACCTCATCCACCAAAAATACCTTGGTTGAATGTTGAATAGTTATGAGATTTCAATTCCCAAAACATACGCGCAAACCACTCAATATATTACAAAATTTGCAACTCCGCCGTTGCGTTGGCCCGGCCGTTGGCTCTCCCGCTATTAGCTGCAAGTCAAGGCCCGACCCTGTTTTTATGGAGCAGCCATCTACATCCTTTAAGTATATCGATCGCTAGTTTATGATTATCGGCCGATTCTGCCTCCATTGACAACCAACCCTCAGGGTATACCAGAAGATGACCGTTTAAGTACGCATCTTTTCAAGATCACCCGCAAATCTCTTGGTATATTTGCATACATACGTGACGTGAGTTCCGTGTATCCCATGAGGCCTTGACTTGTCGCCTCCTGGGCAGAAATCCGGGGAATATGGCCAGGTTACAAACATTCGGAGTCATCCCTCTTTTCCAAACAACCTGTAACAACAGAGGCCAGCGTCGGGCTCAAGGGGTTGAGAGCACTGGCCTCCCAAGCCTCTCTCGACCGAGTTCAAGGGAAACGGCTAACTATTCTGAAAAATAGGCCCATGTTTTGGTTTCTGACGTTTGAGGTTCTCAAAGTGGCTGGCCTCTTTTAGGACAATAATAATGTTGGGTACTCTGTAGAAAGGGTGGGTTTGGGAGCGAAATCGAACCACTTTTTGGCTTTTCGAGATTGACTCCGAGAAAGAACCTGCATCCTGCATAGTTTATACGGAGACCCCGTGTAACTGCTCTGATGTATGTTTGCACCGAAGTCCCCTGTGCACATCCACACCCCCAGGAAGACTCGGGCAGCGGTGGGTTTTATTTTTAGAACTTCGGGTAGGATGGCCCTGTTCAGAGGTTTATGCAACCTGTGATGCACAAATGTACGATTCTGGGGGGTTCATACGCACACATAGGGTCATTAACAACGGACATATACGCCTGACTGATTCTATATTCAGCATCCGGATATGCAAGAGAACGGGGAATGGCCAACGCCAGCGGAGGATATTCGATGCGAGAACCTAGAATAAATTGGTCATGGTTACGTACCAGAATCGATCCCTGGAACAATCGCCTTCCTCTTTGGCAAACGGACAACATCTCAAACAAACCATGTATCAATATCGCAACGTGAGGGCAGGAATGTAACTAGTCGCATCTCATCCTAGCAAGATGAGCTGTCTGTCGGCTCTGCCGCCAAAACGATTTCAGACAAACCCTGCATCGCTCCGCTGATCAGCCGGAATTGAAGGCCTTCTTCCACGCTGTCTAACAGGCTCTCTTTTGTCTGATCCGCGCTGCTGGCCGCCACAAATCCTTCGTTTGTCGCCAGGAGAACCATTGGACACAACGCATCAACAATATCTGCACTGTCCCTTTTTTTTTTTCCTTTGAGCAAGCACCTTGCTATACTGCGAGAAACTCTTGCCTGCTGGACGGACGGCTCCCTACAGCTCGTTAGCTCGCTCTCTGCCTGCCTTCATGAGGGCCTGATTGCTTTGAATTTCTATCTCACAACTCAGCAATAGCATTATATTGACTTAGTCACTGTCCAAACACTCTTCTGTCAGCCAAACGGGGAGCTAACGAAGCTCTGCTCCGCGCATGATATTCGACTCTTAATATTTCAAATTTCAATTTCACTGCGCCAAGTCGGCAACGAGACTGACTTAACTAGCGAGCTGCTGGATGGCGGCAGGCGGCAGGCGGCAGCATGTCAGAAGTAACGAAAGATGGCCTTACAATGATAGGTATTTCTTCTTTCCCGTACATCGCCTTCGAGTCATGAACAGTCGATGCCATTCGTTGATTTCCTCCAAAGGCCCGGAGTGTCCCTGTTCTCCGGCGTTTCTACAGACTAACTTAGCTTGCGGAACCAAATTCTAGTTAGCCTCCTCTTGAAATTTTTTTCCCTCCCTGACTTCCCTTTGATATTTGTTACGTTCTCTCATAGCGCGTATATTGATTCACTGCGACGGAACAGTGAATAAAATGGTCAGTGAAAGACAGCTCTTCCCGGCTTAGTATATCTTTTTTTTTTTGCCTTGCTTTTGCTTGTTTGCTCGTTTGTCCCTGGCCTGCTCCCTTTATCGCACAGTACACTTTCTCCTCGTCTTCAGCATAGCCGGTTGATTTAGAGAGATATCGTGTATTATTCCACCATTATGCTAAGAACAAACTCTACTAAAAAGGCCTTTACGTGCTTTTACTGGGTAAATGGAGGCTGCAAACACAGCGCCGACCAATGCAAGTTTGTCCATGAATATACCGATCGGGTTGCTAAGCCGCCAAAGCCCCCTCGATATGGTGAGAAAAGAGAGGAACCCCCTATAGCTCTACCATCCGGCGGCCTGTTTACGCAGTTTTTCTCACTGTCTTTTAGCATCAGCGTGGCGAGAGGACAGGCCTGAGACGAAGAATCTTATAGATCTGCTGTCTGCTGGAAGCGAGACCAGCGATTCAAAGGTATTGTTGACAGCGCATCAAGTGATGTTTACCCCCTTTCCATGTAAACAGATGATTGAAATGAAACCATTCTTACACCATGGGCGGGAACCATTCTTTTCGGAATATCTAGGAGCTTGACTCGGTTGATACCTCTAATCAGACTGCTGAGGCTACCCGGCCTTCGCAGATTGTGTGTCGGGCGATTGAGTCCGGACACGACTATGACCTTATCAAAGAGCTTCTCACAAACTACTCCCAGTCGGGGGGCGGTGATACCATCTCGCCAGAAGAGAAATTGGACATACTGCTGTCAGTCATAGCATGTAGCCGGACGGACCTTGTTGACCTGGTTATTGAGAATGGAGCAGATCCCAATGGGACGGTACACAATTCTGAAATCCCCTTGCTTGCATCAGCCATATTGAACAGAAACTCAACTTCAGTCTCGATTGTCAAGTTGCTTTTGGCCGCGGGCGCTGATCCAAATTCTATTCCCAAGTCTCTTTGGGAACACGGAGTCTTCACATACCAGAGCCCTGAACCAGACGATGATGATGAGCTCATGGATTCCGGATTGAAAGCGTTGAAAGATACCCTTGAAGAAAGTGTCAACGTTTCAATCAGGCACTGTCTTTTCCAGGCTACTAGGACTTTACCGCCTCTCCCGGCAAGCGTTGAGATGTACCTACTGCCGTTTATCAAAAGAATAACGCGTGCAGAACACTTGTTGATTGGGCAGAGAACAGCGATTAAGTGGGTGAGGATGTTTATAATCATGAAGTTCATGACACGAACAAACTCTCCCCTGGTTATGGCGTTTGTTGGACCAGCAGGTCATGGCAAGTCGAGTCTTGCCAAAGAACTGGGTACATTCATACCAATCTCCAACCTGCAGAGGGTAGATCCAGATCCAGGTGAAGGTGAAGATGAAGAGCTGTCGAATGACACAAGCCCTACGAACGCACCTGGTGAGCTGGAAGTTATCTTTGTTGACAAGGGTGATAAAGCCGAGTACCAGCGGGTACTCTCCTTTTTAGAAGGAGAAGATGCATGTGAGTAGTTTTGATACGATGCTCTTGTTGATGTATAATCGATCCAATGCTAATTATGTCTATAGGGTACTACCTAAGTGAAGGAGAGAAGGTTATAATTGACCGATCAAATACCTTGTGTATTATTGCTGCCTCTAGTGGGGAGGACAAGGTAATGGAATATTATGACCTCAACTCGAGAGAGCTCGAAGTAGAGCTTGCAGACACGGCAAACTGGGAGTCTCGCCTACACCGCGAACTAGAGCTTTTTGTTGCGAATGACCTAGAAAAGGAGATAGGAGTAAGGACCAATCAGCCCAATATCATTCCCCCGTATCTGGATGTCCCATCAAAATGCTTACTAGCAAAATAATTTAGACATCTCTCGCAGGGCATGTATCGTGCTACATCCCGTTCACCCCATTCTCCAAGACGGAAGCAGCCGTTCTCGCACACTCATATCTCTTAAAGGCCACTGATAGCCTGGCTGAGTTCCATGACTCCCTGCATCATGCCAAACTGGGCGAATCAGACAATGTCACATTCATCCTGGACGCCCAAGTTGAAGCTTGTGACAACCTGGCTACTACTGTCTACGTTATCAAACTTGGTGCTCGCTCCATCGAGCAAGGGGTATTCAAAGCCGTTCAATCCCAGATGGTACAGCACTACCTGAAATCCGATTTACTGAAGGAGAACCGTGGCCAGGGTGAAAATGTGACCAATGCTAGCGATAGGTGCGTCACTATTACTGTAGGAGAAGATTTTGCTATTAGGCTGGAGTGAAGAGATGGAAATGAGGAAAGGAAAGCAAGTAAAATAATTCTGGGATGGTAATTGAGCATTATGCATGGCATCACGGTAATGTCTAGGACTCTCTAGTTTAAATTTCAATATTTGGGTGATGCTTTGTGGTTTCTTACGGAAGCAATTGGGAATTAATCAAAAAGTTGGTTGATGCAAGTAAGATCGAAGTGACTAGGAAGAGAACCTGTAGGACTGGGATGGCCGCTAGAGACATGCATGTCTACCACCCCTTGTACCATGATATCAGAGCGTGATTAAAGCTTAAAAAAAAAAAAAAAACAAGCTCCATATGGCCAGGGCAGTAAATTAAGATAAGACACATAAATTAGCATTTGAGAAGCGAAATAGGTGAACAGGGAGGGCATAAATTGGTGACTTCGAGATAAAAAGAAAAGAACAGAGAAGAGAAGAAGGAAATGGTAATATCAACATGTATATCCTAAGAGAAATCTTCCCCTGTTTCCTCGATATTATTTTTTATTCGGAGGAATATCGCCGTCTTCCACTTATCTAGCTTGCTCAGCTGATCGTATTCGTAGAGTCTATCTCCAAAGGCATCCGTGTCCCCCTGCTCAACGGCCTGAGTTAGGTCTGTGAGGAGTGCAAACTCTCGTGTGCCTTGGAATGAGTTGTCGAGCTCAGTGTAATTTTGGAGAGCACGGTTAGTAGCAACAAGGTCCTGTCAGGGAGTGGTCCATTCGTCAGCTATATTGAACTGCAGCTGTTGGCAGGGTGGAGGATGCATAATACGATACCTTTGAGGCGAGGTGGCACATAGTAGCTTTCATGAAGTATTCCTTTACGGACCACTTCATCAAGTTATTGTTTATTGATGACTTGGCCACTTTCTCGAAATTGGCAACTGCTTTGGCGTAATCGCCCTTTAAAGCAGCGAGGTCTGCAACCTTAAGGAAATGCTTGTTGGCGAGACTGATTGTAGGATGTTAGAGAGCTGAATCCCGGTACATATAGATATGGGGAAATGAACACATACGCTTCGGCATTATCGCCCTCGAACCACTCGGCTGCCTTCTCATAAGCTGCAAGAGCTCTGGTCTCGTCTCCGATTTCAACCTCGAACACCTCGGCGAGGTTCTGCTGGTGAGATGCAGCTCGTCTAAAGTTTCCGGTACTTATGTAGTGTTGTATAGCAGTCTGAAGCACTCTGGCAGCGTCCTCTGGGTCACTCTTCCGGTATACCTTGAAGGCCTCTGTGAGTGTGTTTGCGGCGTCTCCTGGCTCGTTTAGGTTCAAGGTAAATATAGCGGCAGCCTTCTCAAATGCAGCTCCCGCCTCCTTGTCTATCAAAGTTCAACCGTTAGCTGGCTTCTCTCTGCCAGCTGTGTACTGGACGGGCTGTTGCATAAAACTTCAACGTGGGGGAGACGGACTCATTTTTTGTACTCTAAAGCAGTTTGCGGCCTGTGTGTATAGATCTGCGGCATTCTCAAACTTCTCCGTCTTGTTTCCAAAGAAACTGAAGCCTCCAGAAGCGCTCTGGAGGGCTTTGTCTGCCTGAAGAGCGAGCGTTAGCAGGCATAGACGCAGTGTCTTCGCGGGGTATTCTGGCCACATACCTTCTGCAGAAGCACCCGGGGATCCTGTTCCGACATTTCTGCAGCAGTCTCTGGCCTCTTTCTGAGCTATACAAGCCTTCAGGATGTCCTCTCGTGTCAACGGATGTTGTTTTGGTGTAGAGCTGAGTCCGTCTATGTCTGGTCGTTGCGGGTTAAAAAAAGGACCCAGCAAAGCCGCCGGGCGAAGTTTGGGGTGACGTTTTTGGCCAAGCCTCGCCAGACTCTTTTTCTCAGCCTTCAACGTCCTTTATTTTTTGCTCCCAAAACACAACACGGCTCTCTTATTCTACGGACTCGCTACACTGACGGTGATTAATATATGCAATTACGATGGTGGCATGTCCAGCGCTCCGAAGAGCCCTGATACGGGCCAATTGGCTGGTCAAGAGCCCTGCAGCCGGCCCAGCTTACTACTCAACTGCGGCGCCTACGGACGTGAGCGCGCTCCTCTCCAAGCCAACGTGGTCCGTCAAGTCGCTTCTGCCTGCTTCTCAACAAGAGGACGATGCCGGGATCTCGCCGAAGCAGCTCAGACACCTGCTTCGACTCGCTGCCCTCCCACAGCCCGCCTCGCAGGCCGAAGAAGACGAGATGCTCAAGACGTTGGCGTCACAGATACATTTCGTGAAGGAGATACAACAGGTCGACACCACGGGTGTGACTCCGCTGCGCAGCATACGTGACGAAACCGCCGACGCTCAGAAGGAGAATACAATCGATCTGGCTCTGTTAAAGTCCGCGTTGGAACGGGAGGAATTCGTTGGCCGGACCAGGCGCATTCGTCGTAAACCTGCCGAGAAACTAGAAAAGCCAGACGGCGAGACGTGGGATGGAGACGCCCTCAAGGCCGCCAGCAAGACCATGGGCCGCTACTTTGTCGTCCAGACCGGCTCTGACTAGTTCTTCTCTTCGTCCTCGCTGTCGCTGTCGACCTTTTTTCTCCCTGCTTCGAAGGCTCGCGGCCGCTGTGATATACACGCGACGTCACGTGACGTCAAGATGGCGAACGCTGCGAACGGTGTTACTTTCTCTGAGACTGGATGCTGCAGGAAGCCGGAAGCGCCCTGGAAGGCCTGAAAGCCCCGAAGACCCTTGGAAAGCGAGCGTGACTCGGCGAGGCTCTTGGGGAGAAGGGCGTTTGGAAGAAGAAAACCGGGCTTTCCCTCTTCTTTTTACGAGTGATCATCGTCGAAAAAAGCATTCATTGCCAGAGCCCAAAGCTTGTTCGTATCTATAAGTATAACGTCCCTTTTTATGATGGCGAGCTATGGGACAAGATCTGGGGGCCAGCATGCACATCGGCAGTTAGGAGACGGCTCCCAGGCGCGCTCCCAGGATATCCGTGAGGCCCTGAGCGATTCACAGTGCTGCGACCTTATCGACCTCATTCTCAACACTGTGGATTGCATGGAAGACTTGCTCTGCCCCCGTGCGGAGCCAGAGATGAAAGGGAGCCTATCTCATGGGAATGCATTGGACAGTGGAAAGGAAGACGTCGACCTCCTTGGCGGCGAGACAGGACAGCCACAGCGCCCCAAAAGACCTGTGAGGTCAGCTACCACGGTTGCGGCGATAAAGGCGGAGGCGGAGGCGTCTCGACACTTCGGCTCGTGGAGAGATGCAGTCTTAGCCAGAGTTAGGGAGGCTCTCCAGGGCCAGAATGGGAGAGCACCTCTGCAACCTATGAAAGCACAACAGTCTTTGATTGATTTGGATGAAGGAGGGCTTGGACAACAGGACTGTGCGCTACAAGAACTACCCAGTGAAACCAAGGACTTGATTGTCAATTCCCTGCTCCTGATATTACTCAGTCTGGAGCACTATAACGCACATTCACGCGTCCTTCTTGTTAGAGTGGCCTTGCAACTCGGCCTACAAGTTGCAGATGTGTCAGAACATGAGATAAAAGTCGCACATGTGCTTCTGGATAGTGTGAAGGAGATGAACCATGCCGAAGAAGAGCTCAAGCGCAGAGCAGAGCAGAGCAAGATCAGCCGGAGATGGAAAGTTAAGCTTGCGTCTGTGGCTGGCGCGGCGCTTATTGGGGTGACTGGAGGTCTTGCTGCACCATTAGTCGCCGCTGGCGTCGGAACTATTCTGGGCGGCCTAGGACTTGGAGCAACTGTTGCTGCTGGATATCTTGGCGCTGTTGCCGGTAGTACTATCATTATCGGTGGACTGTTTGGTGCTTATGGTGCCAAAATGTCCGGGAGGATGATGGATCGTTACGCAAGAGAGGTAGAGGACTTTGCCTTTCTACCTCTTGGTTCTACTCCAAAACCTGCCTCGGAGCCCACAAAAGCAAGGCCCCCGTCTTCGGATAATAGACTTAGGGTGACTATTGGAATCAGCGGCTGGCTTACCGAAGGAAAGGACGTAATAGAACCATGGCGAGTTCTTGGCCCCGATTCAGACGTTTTTGCTCTTCGATGGGAGCTGCAAGCCCTCCTACGACTAGGCAGCTCCCTGACGACCTTTGTAAGGAATACTGCTTGGACATTTGCTGGGAGAACCGTACTTAGCAAGACAGCTCTTGCACCCGTCGTAGGAGCAGTAATGCTCCCCGTCACCATCTCGAAAATCTCATACATCCTCGACAACCCTTTCAATGTTGCCAAAGTCCGTGCGGACAAGGCAGGTCAGATCCTCGCAGACGCCCTTATCAACAAAGCTCAGGGCGAGAGATCAGTCACTCTAATAGGATACTCACTCGGAGCTCGCGTCATTTTCTCCTGCCTCATCGCCCTTGCAAAGCGACGGGCATTTGGATTAGTAGAGTCTGCCATTTTGATCGGCTCCCCTACTCCGTCTACCACTTCCCACTGGCGACTGATGCGATCCGTTGTCAGCGGCAGGCTTGTCAACGTCTATTCAGAAAACGATGGAATCCTCCAATTCCTCTACCGCGCAAACAGTATGCAGCTTGACATTGCCGGTCTTGAAGCCATATCTGGTATCCAAGAAGTGGAGAATTACGACGTCACCGGTATCGTCAGTGGCCATTTACAGTATCAGTTCTCAATTGGCAAGATACTGCAGCGGATTGGGTTTGATCATCTAGATGAACGTGAGATACAGAGACAGGAGCATAAGCTTGAAATTAATGAGGAAGAGATGAAGAATCTTGAGGAGGAGAGGATTGCTACCGCTAGAGCTGCCCAGACATCAGGTACTGCTACCAAGGAGACTGCCATTAAGGTACAGGAAGGTCAACCGAGGACTGGACCTAGTGTGGATGTTAGTTCTGTTGCTCTCGCTGGTGCCCTATCTGGAGCTGCCACTGCTACTACTGGTATTGCAGCTACTGCAGGCACTGCTGTCGATGGTGCGGATGGTGACCACGTTGACGATACAGATGACGAGGCTCCTGCCCGCATAATGATGGTTGACAATGATGGCATTGAACTTGACGACTCATCAGATACGAATGAATGTCCGTATCCTGACATTGAACCTGAACAGTTAGAGCGGGATATTGAAGAAATGACCAGGCAGCGACTTCTGAATGCTAGAATGGATGGTATCCAACTTGAAGATAACTATTAATTGTTTTCCTACGACGGTGTTGGAAATAGCATAGAGATACATTCTAAGGCATTAGACCGATAATAATATCTATCCTATCAATTTGTATTAATGCCTCGTTTGCCACTCCGCCAGCTATCAATTTTAGGCCCACTCTGACAGTCGGTCCACATGGGAGCGAAGAAATGCAACCGCTGCGTTTGCCACGGCATGTCAAGGTCCCATAGCTCAGTTGGTTAGAGCGTCGTACTAATATGAAGTTAATGCGAAGGTCGAGAGTTCGACCCTCTCTGGGACCATAGGTTCTGATTCCTTTTTTTGTCCATTTCCAAGCAAGTTCTTTTTTTTTATATTGGAAATATATTCGGGGCTCTTAGGCTTTTCGGACTTTTTTTGTTCTATCTAGGGCCTGCATCGTCCTTCCTATTCGAGATAACTTAGCGAAAATCTTAACCACCGCGGGCTGTAATGATATCAGAGTTGTTAATACTCACTCCAACCTTCTCTTCAGGACCGTCTGCATCCAACCATGACGGGTATTTGCTTTCTTCTTTTACATTCCCCTCAGTGTGGCTTATCTTTACCCAGCCAGTGACTGAGGTCAATGTAGTAGACTTATCTCAGTGTAATATTTATGGTCATAGGCGCTCCAGATGCCGATAACCTGCGATATAGTGGCCAGCACAACCAAGATGTGGAATATCTGATGCGAATTGAACCAAATATCGAATTTCCCTGGTCTCAGAGACTCTGGGATGCGGGTCTGAATATCTCGAAAACATCACAAGCCCAAGACATGTAACCGTATCCTGGGCCAGGGACTTGTCCGCCCGCTTTCCCCTCCCCCCACCCTACATGGGTCAGGCAAGAAGGGAAAGCGACGGAGATGTCCCCATAGCGTGAATTGAAGTTAGAAAAGAATGCAAAATCACGCAAGTAATATTGATGAGGAAGAGACGTGGAAGCATGCTCACCACATAGAAGGCGACCCCAATTATGTGCAACAGACCTTCAAGGAGGTAGTACGGGAGCCCGCCGTGTTCCATCATTTCCTCAAGGCCATAAAGTATGATGGCATGCATCAGGGGTGCTAGTGAAGACAATCCGGTGCAGATAAATGTCCACGCACGAAAGGTTCGGTACTCCTCACCTTCGAATTTCGGGTGGAATAATATCATGCATGTTAAGGAACTGAACGCAAATGTCTAGAGAGTCTGATATAAGCCAGATATCCTCACCTTAAGGTAAGGAAGAGCTTACAGTTGTCCAATAAATAGCCCACAACGCTGTGTCGCTATAGAACACCACATAAGTACCAGAGATGATGTCACCGAAAATCAGCCCTGCAATTCCCATATAGTCGGCACGCAGGCATGCCTTGGCCACCTTCTCGGAGTGGCTCATGAATGTGTGGAACAATGTCGAGCAGCTCATACACATTATGGCTGTCAGCAGGAAGAGTGAAAAAACCACTTTATCCGCCACCGGAGCTTCAGGGTAGAGAGCCTCGAAGTGCCGGAAAACAAAACCCTCTGCAGCGGCAAAGCCAATGGCCGGGATAAGATGCGTATAGATGTTAACGGTCTCATTATGGGTGTAGAACCAGCTGTAGAAGCAACGAGCGGTCGAATTGCATGGAACTCGGTAGCCAGTCAGGATATAATTGCTTTCTCCCAGCCAATGCGGTACTTCCTTGTTGGAGAGCGTGAGGGCGCCATGCTCCTGGCTTTTCCTAGGTAGAAGAGGCGGTGTTTCATCTAGATCAACTCGTGGAGGCCGTGAAGCGACGAAACCGCGCGAACGAAGGGCGGGTAATACCGTCATCTTCCTCCAGCCGATGGGTAGACTAATCCTAGATCAATTGGCGTGTATAACGATAAGCGCTAATAATATAACTAGTTTAGCAGTAGGAGCCTCAGTCCCGTCCCAGGAACGAAAGGATCAAACTGGAGACAGGCCTGGAAAGGATATCAGGGCTTTTTCAGATAGCGAGATAAGCAGAGGTAAAGAGAGAGAAGAGGCTTATATATTTACCCAGCTCCTCGAGCAGGAATATAAGACGCACACGCCGGGCAGGGGTTCCACCTTCCTGCACGCATGGCCGGGCTAGAAAAGAAAAACAGAGCAGGATATAGAGCAACGAAGGGAGCGGATAGCATCGCATCCGCTAGTTATATATCGAAGGGAGGATATATAAAGAGACGTGCCACTGCTCTGGTCCTTGCGGGTGAGGAACAGCTGCGGAAGGATTGAGAAAAAGTCCCACTAGGCGCGGGCAAGGATAGCAGAGCGCCTGCAGCCTTCAGCTCGTGGTTTGATGCCCGAAGCTTGTTGGCTGCGGCCCAGTTTCTGGCCGGCCAGATCACCCAAACGAGCATCTTGGTGGGACTGGAATGAAGACGGCATTTCGGTAGTTGGCGATGTTGATATTTGATGAAGTTGAAGTTGACGTTGAAGATGAAGACGGGCGTTGAGCAGTCATGTGATACTTAAAGGGGGGAGTGGAAAGATCAGACGAAAATAAGAAGAAACAGACAAAAAGGAAGATTCTATTGATATCGAATCGAGTATCTAAACCTTTGGCGTTGTATCATTGCTCATTATAATGTTAAACATCCCAAGAAACTGTCATTAACCGGTGGCCTATCCATAACTTTTCACACCTTAATCAAGAGCATCCCATTCCACAGCCTTCCGGGGAAAGATCCGCTTGTACAAACTGATTCCAATAGAGTCCTGCGGGTTGATCTTTGCATCAAACGTGGCTTTGAAGTAGCCGTGGGTTCCCAGACTCTCTTTAATGTAGCCGGTGCGGCCACGTCGGGTCCAGAGCTGCAGGGCTTTGAACCAAGCAATGTCCTCTGCGTTGAAGAACATGTAGCGGACAGTGACCAGCTTCTTGTGGATCTTGTACGGGTGGCCGGTGAGGATGACTCGCTTGGCTACCACGCGAGAGTGGTCTGGGGCCATAGATGTCCCAGTTGCGACGAGCTCCAGGGCACCAGGCTTGGTGTTGGCTTCATCGCTTCCATCGAGGATTTCGGGGTCAGCCACAGACGTGCGTTTGAATATTAGTACAGGGATGGAGCCCCAGGATACGGGGCCGATGAAGGTAGCGACTGCATTGCGGCCAGGGTGTATGAATCTATCGAATTTGTGAACATTGTTGGGCGTTGTCCCTGCGGAGGAGAAAATGGGTTTGACGAGCAGTCGACGAGGGCCGCATTGGAAGATCAGTTCTTCCTTTGACTTGATGGGTGCTTCCACCGTGGAGTTTAGGGTCATGTTGATGTTGACAACCGCATGCTTGTGCTCGTGACGCAACAAGGAGAAGAGGGATAGAGGGGATGGGTTACGTTGCTGCAGGTTCAATGGGACAGCTCGGAGATGTACGTGCACTTTAGTTCCAGGTTTTGCGCCGCCAACAAGAGCCTCTCGTATACACTGATTACGTGCTCCCTTGTAATCTGGTACCTGCAGCAGATGGCGCCAGTCCTCTGGCTCGTGTGCCCTGTCCTCCTCAGTTTCCCACTTGCTAGTCTTGAGGCTCCTCAAACCACGATATCGGGCCAGACGCTCTCTCGCTAATGTGTTAGGATGTAGCTCGATCTCATCTGGGAACTCGAGGTCTTCCTGAGCCTCGCTCTTCTTGCTGGCTCGGTACTCCTCTATCTGCTTGGCTTCTTCCTCTGGAGATGGATCTAAGAACATCTCGGACTGCGGGTATTCAGTACCGCCGCCTTCGGTCATGGCATCTCTATTATCAGGGAAAACGCCATCCTCAGGCCGGCCTTCCTCCATATCCATCATCTCTTCATCACCATCGTGCTCTTCGTCCATGAGATCAGACCCCGAGTCAGAAAAGTCATCAAGATACCAGGCTGATTGGTACTTTGAGGTACCACGGGGTATTCTCTTAGGCACCTCGTATGCCGTTGGTTCATCTTCATCTGAAAAATAATGGTGATCGTCAAGCAGGACACCTTTTCTCTCCTGCCCAAGCATTGAAGGGGTATCATCTGTCATGAACACTTCCTCGGGAGAAACCGTAGTAAGATCCTCAGCATCTTCGGTCGGTTCATCCAAAACTTCCTCATTCACGGCATCATCAATATTCATTGCATCCTCCTTCTTGCGCGACGGAGGCGGCACTTTAGTGATTAATGATATCTGGAAATCTCCCCAGGTTGGGATGTGTACCAATCGATCCGCCTTGAGACCTTTCCCTCGAACTATACCAGTAATCACAACATCACCTGTTTCCTCAGTTAAAGAAGCAGGCCATTCTACATTCTCGATCAACATCCAACTTCTATCATCCCTCCAATGTATACCCTTTGGAGTTGCGGTACAAAGGCCGCGAATGACGTTCGAACAATCCTGTCTAGAGTCGAGAGAGTGGACTTTATCAAGGCTAGGGAAGTATCGTGTTAATGAGGACTTTAGCGAAGTTACAACTTGTGTCCTCTTCTTCGGTGTTGGTATTTTCTCAAGCCTCTGATAGGAATAAATGTCAATTTCATTGACTAAGTTGCTAGAATGAATACCACATACCTGTACAAGTGCCATGACATTGGAGATACCCTGGCCTTCTACTGCCTTGAGGAGAACCTGAGCCGTTTCGTCCAATGCTCCCGCATCGGAAGAAATCACAAACACAACGAAATCAGCCAGCCGGCATACATCCAATGCGCTGATCAGATCCCTCGTAGCGGGTATATATGTAATACTCTGCTTGAACCGGTCGATGCGTACTTGACATATGCCACTGTAACTCTCGCTATTGGGCACGTCAACGCTCTGGTTGAGCTGTAGCACTGCCGCATCCAGGTCCACCCCCTCCGAGACTGGTATGACTGCCACATGCCGGGGAGCACCATGCTGGCCAGAAAATATGCTGACAGCCTCAGACTTCGCCTTAGACTTCAGTCTCTTCTTCTGCTCGGCCTGGTTTCGTCTCTGCATTTTCGACATGAGCTGCTGGTGGGGGGTCTTTCGGCTGCCCCTCTCGATCTCAATTTTTCCTAATTGACTGTCAGCTGGTATATTCACACTCTCCCGATGCGCCACACACCCTTAGAGAGATCTTTCAGAGCGCCCTTGGTCATATGCTTGGACTTGAAGACTTTGTTCGCCTTCTTCGTTGTGTTCCGGTGGTGGTGCTGCTCGGTTGGCACCGCCATGGGGGCCATCTTGCCTGGCCCTGAGCCCTTGAATCTAAACGGTAGCGAGTCCAGCTTGGGCAATCCACTGCAAAGATAGATGTATCAATTCTATAACCGTCTTTTCTCCTCGTCTTCGCTTCTCGTCTTTCTCAGTCGTCACAAAAACACATAAAAATATAAAAAAAAATAATTTCTGTGTAAAAGATAAGGTCACGTGAGATCTTATCTCCCGTCTCTGTGGGCGAAATCTTGGCGTTTTTTTATTTTCTAATTTTTTTTTTTCTTTTTTAGTTTGAAAGCTCGAAAAGGCACAAAAGAAAGACGGAAAGATTCAGACGGATTCTATTGTTTTATTTCAAAGGTGTGGGTTGAGTTACTACTAGTGCTGCGGTGGCCATGGCCATGGAGGTCGCGAAAACGAAAAAAGACGCCGCAAAACGGTCAAAAGCGGACGTTGCAGCAGACCGCGAAGCCAGGAAGCATTTCGCCGAAGCGCAAGAGGCATACGGACGGGGCAAGCAGGTCGCAGTGAAATCTGTCAGGGACAAGAAACTGCGGAGTAATCTGAAGAGCCTCGAGACCAAGTACAAAAATGCGATTCTCCAAGCGAAAGACTCGGAGCTGCTCCTTGAGAACGAGGCAGGATTCATTGAGGCTGAGGGAGAGCTTGAGCGGACATACAAAGTACGGCAGGATGAGATAAAAGAGAATGTCGGCATTGAAGTCGCGAAGAACGGATTTGAACTGAAATTGGAAGACCTGGGGCCGTACAAGGCGGATTACACCCGCAATGGACGGAAGCTTCTGCTGGCTGGGAGAAAGGGCCATGTTGCTACGATGGACTGGAGAGAAGGCAAGCTGGGTTGCGAGTTACAACTTGGTGAGACGGTGAGGGATGCGAGGTGGCTACATAACGACCAGTTCTTTGCGGTTGCGCAGAAGAAATACGTTTATATATACGATCATTCTGGCGTTGAGATACATTGTCTGAACAAGCATGTTGAGCCAACACATCTTGAATTCCTACCATATCACTTCCTTCTCGCTAGTGTGGTACGTTTATCTTGGATCTTGCTTTATGTTCTTTTTCCTATGCTAATTATAATGCGGTATAAAGGGAATGAGCGGGTTTCTGAAATACACAGACACCTCGACCGGTCAACTGGTTGCTGAAATACCAACTCGAAAGGGAAGTCCGACATCCCTATGCCAGAACCCTCATAATGCCATCCTACACGTTGGACATCAGAATGGAACTGTCAGCTTGTGGTCTCCAAATTCGCAGACCGCATTGGTGAAAGCTCTAGTTCACCGTGGCCCGGTACGGTCAGTCGCCGTGGATAAACAAGGCCGATACATGGTATCAACAGGCCAGGACCAGAAAATGGCTGTATGGGATATTCGAATGTTCAAAGAAGTACATTCATACTACGTGCATCAACCTGGCTCGACAGTGACTATTAGTGATCGAGGTCTAACGGGAGTTGGCTGGGGAACTCAAGTCAGTGTATGGAAGGGGCTGTTTCAAGCCGCTCGGGAAGACCAGGAGAAGGTCAAGAGTCCTTACATGGCATGGGGAGGTAACGGACAGCGTGTTGAGGGCATACGATGGTGTCCATATGAGGATGTGCTCGGTATAGCGCACGACAAGGGCTTCTCAAGCATGATTGTACCTGGGGCCGGCGAACCTAACTTCGACGCAATGGAAGCCAACCCTTACGAAACTACCAAGCAGCGACAAGAAGCTGAAGTCAAGTCTTTGTTAACGAAGTTACAGCCTGAGATGATATCTCTCAATCCTGATTTCGTTGGTAATCTTGATTTGACTAGTGACAAGGCTCGACGAGAAGCCAGAGACCTGGATAAGAAGAAGGAAGATATTGCCGAAAAACTAAAGAATCGTGGCCGAGGACGAAATAGTGCCTTGAGGAAGTATCTTCGGAAACGAGGAGGCAAGAATATTATAGACGAAAACAGGTTGAAGGTCGAGGCTATGAGAAGGGAACAGAACGAGAGGTTGAAGGAGAAACGCCGCAGGGAGAGAGAGGCCTTAGGACCGGCACTAGAGAGGTTCGTGAAGAAGTAGACGCCTCTTCTCCTTCGATTCTTTGCTTGTCTGCTTGTTTTTTTTTAAAAAAAAATAATACCCATGGAGTTTACGATGCTTGTACATTTGTCATACTGCTTGCATGATTGAACGGCGTTGCATGGCTATTGAATCGCTATTTTGAATAATAAATACCATTCATGAACATCCTTCAAGCCTGCAAAATGGCTGAGTTCAACGAACATCACGTCTGTGCGTCACTCATCTACGGAGCCGGAGTTTTTCGGAGCACCGTTCTTCCATCGCTCTAAGCTCACGTCGTAAGCTCCGCTGCCCTTCCAGGCGCTCAATATCAAATCGACGATGTTTTCAACGCCTTTACCGTGCTTCACCACCGCAAAGACAGTAGGACCGCCTTCTCTCATCTTTGCAGCATCTCTTTCCATGACATCGAGGTCGGCACCTACGGCCTCCGCAAGGTCAATTTTGTTGACCACCAACAGGTCACTGCCTGTGATTCCTGGCCCGCCCTTACGAGGCACCTTGTCACCGCCAGCAACATCAATGACGTAGATAATGAAATCAGCCAATTCACGAGAGTAATTTGCGGCAAGGTTATCTCCGCCGGACTCGATTAGGAGAAGATCGGTCTTGAACTTGCGCTGGAGTTGTTGAAGAGCAAGCAGGTTGGCGCTTATGTCTTCGCGGACAGCCGCATGAGGACATCCTCCTGTCTCGATGGCACGGATACGGGAGGGAGAAAGTGCTTTGTTGCGAGTAAGGAATTCCGCATCTTCTCTATAGCCGATGTGTAATTAGTACCATCTCCGCCATTTCGGCTCAAGGGTCACGGCAACATACCGGGTAAAAATATCGTTCGTGACAGCTGCAATGTTGTATTCGTCACATAAGGCCATGCACAGTGCCAGCATCAATGCTGTCTTGCCCGATCCTACCGGCCTGAATGCAAATGTCTACCTGTCAGTCACGATCCCTCTTAATTGATTGAACTCGATCTCGTATCTTCTCCATCCCCGCGTTTCAAGCTTTGCCAATGCAAGCCTAGTTGAACAACTAGCAGGAAAGAAACGGTGAGATCTGGTAAATAAAGCGAACGAACCCGCCAATTCCAATGGTGAAGGCTCTGTCATTCCAGTCGCGCTTCTCTACCAGCGGCTTCTCGCGACTGATGTACGAGCCCGGCCCCTCAAGGATCTCGTGAGTATGACCATGGTTAGTCGCATCGTGCGAATGATCGTGCGAGTGCGAGTGCGAGTGCGAGTGCGACATGGCAAATGTTCTTATTATTTCCCAGGATAAGGAGTGTATTGTAGCCGGCTGTCCGTGATCTGCCCGTCCGTCTGTACTTTGCTTCCACCGTTGTAGAGAGTTGGTGTGGGTGGGAAAGTTGGCAGTTGTGATGACAGCATTGTTGATAAAGCCGGGAGCCGCAAGTGCCGCGGCTAAGCACCGAGATAATATTAACTATTCCCGGCTAATTCGTATACCAGGGAACGGAGATACAAGGATAATCATTGTGGGGGCCAGAAAGAAGGTTCCAAAAAAATAGAATTATATTAGAACAAAGATCTGAATGTATTATCATCACCGTCGCCTCGCCGTCTACTCCAAAAAAAAAAAGGGGATCAAAAAGGGGGTACGTAAAGGCAAGCAAGAAGGTAAGCAATCAAGCGGGCGAGCATATCATGCATCCATCACACGGCGCGGCCACGGCATATCCAAACAGCAGAAAAGCACAAAGTCCAAGAAGGCCGAGCAAGAAAGAGATATGGCAAGTTTAGAAAAGCAGAGTAAAAGACGCAAAACGCTGACTCCAAAACACCTTCTGTTAGGAAACAGAATAGAACAAGATAAGGTAGGTTAAGACATATGGTAGGGAGCATGAAGAAAAAACGAGATAGAGGAGAGGATTCATAAGCCAGTAGACCAAGCAGATGTAAAATGATGAACGAAGAGCTCCCAGAACAAGGACGATGAGCAGGTAGAAGAACAGTAAGCGCCAGACAGGGAGTTGCGAAAATAGGCAGTGAAAGGGAGGAGAGCGGACAGCTGAGATATTCAGGTTGTATTGACGGAAAGGACAATAGTTTCACAAATCGAGATGATGCCGATAGGTAGGAAGAGGAGGGGATGGTTAGCGTCGAGATGGAGGTGGGAGCACGGTACATAGCACGGCAAGCTCGGGGGTTCATCAGCCAGTCGGTGGAAGTTTTTTTATATAGTTTTGGTAAATTGGTGGGGATAAATCCGGCTCAGTCAATTAGGATCAACTGGTTCCTTTCTGTCTCTTACCACCGACTCTCGGACTGGCTTTCACTTTATTAGCGTTCCCCTGTGTAGCATTGTTGGCATCCATGGAAGATGCATTGTCATCCCCTTCCGTCTTTACTGTGCTCGCTCGACGACGTTTATTGTTCACGTTTGGACTGGTGTTGGCACTGGTGCCTTGGCTACCACTGGTGTTGGTGCCTTGCTGACTCTGCTGGGCTGCCATGGCTACGGGACCGGCAACAGGGTTTTGGGCTGGGCTGGGCGTATGAGTTGGCCCGCCTATGTGGGGGGATCCCTGGACACCGGGGATGCCCAAGTGGCCGACTGCAGGAGAGGCGAATTGGTTATTAGTACCGTTGACACCTGGAGTGCGTTGGCCAGGTGGCATAGAGTTAACGCCGAGAGCTGGGTTTTGCTGAGAGAATGTGCTGACGAGTTGGTGAAGGGCATCTGGAGGGGATAGGTGAGGGTTTTGTAGGGAGTATTGAAAGAGGTATTGCATTTGAGATATGATTTCAGCGACCTACAAACTAAAGTCAGCTTTCATTTCCTGCTTGAAAGGTACGGAGGCAACCGACCTCTAAGAAGCTCATGACTGCCACGGGCACGCCGTCGTCTGTGACCATGGAATCCGGTATGGCCACGGACGGGGTAGCGGAGAGTTTCTGCCGTTTGGTCATGGGTTTGCTCATCCTCGGGCTTTGCTTCTGTTCTGGGGATGGTGGAGGTTGCAATTGGTGACGAGGTATATATTCGGTATGGCCGCCTGTGCCGATATCCAAAAGTTCTATCTTGCCCGTTGGGCCATATTGGGCTACCAGAGTTCCGGTAGAAACAAGCTGATCGTTCGTTAGTCGAACTAACATATCAAATATGAGGGGTGTAGTAGCTTACCTGGCATCCATTTTCAAACCAGTATATGAACGAGGTCTTTTGGCTTTCTACAATCTGGCCACCAGTAGGTAGGTCCTTTTCCGCCACATTTTCAACAATCATCTGGATTTGTTTTATCCCGCTGGTGAACTGTGTCCAGTAGTACCGAGCCAGAGCAGGCGTCGAGATCTCAAACTGTTTCGTCCCACGTTGAGCATTGAAAACAACCAGGCGTAGAACCCCGTTTGGAGCATAGAACTGTTCTACAAAATTCTGCCAATATGGCAATCCCGGTGCAGGATTGCGATTCTAAAAAAGAAGAAGAGAAAGATTGATTAGTATGATGAAAAATGTATAACAGGTGCCATGGTCTTACAGAATAGCCACTGAGATTCTCTGCAAAGGAGAATAGTCTAAATATGGATGAACCCTTCATGGGGTTTGGCATGCGCTGCTGCATCATCATCTGCTGCATTGCAGCCTGCTGCTGGGCCATTCGCATTTGCCCCTCTGGACCGGCAAGCTGCTGTGGCGGGCCTACATGTTGGCCCGGGGTAGGCTGTGGAGTGGGTCCCTGCTGTGATTGCTGCTGTTGCTGCTGAGGGCCGGCCTGTGAGGTTGGAGGTATCCCCGGTTGCTGAGAAGGAGCACTGGTTCCCGGAGGTTGTTGATGCTGTGGCTGTGGATGGGGAGTACCACCTTGGGAATCATGCATTGCTTGTGCCTGGGTGGTCCTTTGCTGTGCGTTTTGTTGTTGAGCCTGGGCTTGAGCTTGGGCCTGGGCCTGGGCCTGAGCCTGGGCAGCCGCACTATTTTGATGAGCCATCTGCATAGCAAAGAGGTGCTGCTGTTGCTGATGCAGATTTGGAGCCTGGTTATGATGATTTTGAGCCTGGAGCTGTTGTTGGATGTGTGGAGGTAGGTTGCCCGGGTGCATGACCGGGTTGCCAGCCTGGGCGACGGCCATGTGGGCAGAAGTGACCGCCTGGGTCCCGTTAGGCATGGAGGCTGGGATTCCAGCATGCTGAGGCTGCGGCTGCGGCTGCGGCTGCGGCTGGCCGGTCTGCTGCTGCTGTTGTTGCTGTTGCTGGGCCTGCTGTTGCTGCTGGGCCTGTTGAACGTGTTGTTGCTGCTGCTGGGCCTGCTGTACTCTTTGCTGCTGCTGC